ATAAATTGAAACTTAAATTATAGATTGGTGATGTGATCTAACCTTATGTTAAAACTGATTTGAGAACCTTTTCGTAAATATTTTATTTAAATCAAGAAAAGTTATATTTGGTGTAAAAACAAAGTTAAAGGATTTTGAGCTATTTGCATACAAAGAGATTTCAAAAAAGGAAGAATAGAGTAGTCTATCATTGGGAGTGATGCTTAATATATTAGATTGGAAAGTAGGTTTGAAGATGAATTTTAAAGAAAATAATAGTTATTTTGCACTTTTGTATCAATTAAAACTCATTATCAAATTAGTATTTAGAAATTTGGGCTAGCAATTTAATTTCCATTTTATAGTTTAATATACAATGATCTTTTAGAGAAATATACAATAGCAGCATTTGGATTTATGATTGCATGTTCCATTCTAAAATGTTTTTAATAACCTAAAGTTTTACCATTAAATAAATAATAAAGAATTGAATAATCAAGAAATCAATTAAATTTATTAGAACATAAAACTAAATAGAATTTTAGATATGAAAAAGAAAATAATGGATTATTAATTTTATTTGCATATTATGGTAATGCAGAACATATTAAATTATTGAGTCAATAATAAAATAAATCAAAATATCACTTATAAAATGATGTAAAATATAATAACAATTATTTTAGTTAGAAATTATTGATGTAACATTATCATGTTAATTTAATGTGAAGAATTCTAAATTACATTTACCAAAATATTCAAAATCTGTTCTGTTTGGTTTCTGTGATCCTTGTGAAAATACAAATACTCATAAATTATTGTTATTTGAATACACATACAAATAACAAAAATTTAATTAAATATTTGATGACTTGGATGAGGTGATCTTGCCTTGATTTATTATATAATATTAATAATAAAATAAAATGGAAGAATTAGGTATGCGTCCTGAAACATCTAAATGCTCAAGAATGGAAAAACGTAGATTAGTATCATAAAGTCATCAAAGACAAGAATCAAGTTAAGCACCAAGAATCAATGGAATTACTTTATAATAATACTTTAGAGGAAGCAACTTTAGAGTATTAGAAATCAATGAAGATGAATGGGATAATCATTAAAATGGATAATCACGTGCTCCTCCACTTTAAAATAACAATTTTCGTATTAAAACAGATAAGAAAATAAACAATAAAAAACTACTAGAACGATCTCCTGCTTAAAATCTAACTACAAGTAAAGACTTTAATCAACATAAAATTAATAGAGTAAGTAGAATTATTCATTATTTTGCTAGCCTCATATAACATAAAATGAATTCTTTCAAAATGAAGATGAACTTAGAAAAACCAAAATAGAACTCAAATATGGTCGCATGAAAGAGGATGTCATCAATCGGTTTGGAAATCCTGATTAAGATCTTATTAATAAATATGCAGAAAAATTTAATATAAATAGAGAACCTCCAAAATTGACATTAGCTCCTAGAGAACTATATACAAAAATTAAGTGAATATTAATTCTTTTTTTTTTTCATTGCCACTGCAAATTCAAAAATACTTTTTTTTTCTTTTTTTTCTTTAATTATTCATTGTATCCAAAATAATATTATAATATTAATTCTACCAATCAATTAAAGTAATATATTAATGATCTCATCATCTTTTTTATATTGAAATTTAATTGATGAATGAGTTTCCTAACATGCTTTTTAAATTTCAATTAATTTTATATTTAGTAATGAAATAATTTTAATTTTTTAAATTAATCTCTTCATTTTTAGATTATTCATTCCTTTAAATTATTTATCAATCCCATTGTACCAGAATTTCAAATTCCCTAAGATATTAAGTTTTAATGCAGAATAGATCATAATATCTTAGCAATAGATGAATAGTTGAACTAAAATCTAATTTTAGGTTAGAATTGCCTAAAATTTAGGCTATTTTCTAAGAGATTAATTTATTTGATTTTAATTATATTTTTATTTTATTAAATAAATATAAAAATTTAATATAAATATATTAATTTAAAATTTTTATATATTAATTATGAATTATTTCTACAATATTATTAAGATATATGATTTATAATGAATTTTATACTTTTAATTGTGCATTATAATCCATCTTTTATTTTCCAATAAATAATTAGAATTAGAAATAATATTATAAAATATTTCACTAATTGCTAATTATTTAACAAAAGTAGAAGTAATCATATGCTGAATATTTTATTACTATATAAATCAATTTCATCTATTTAGGACCTTCTGATCATCTTCTCTTTAATGTTTTTAGCTAATGGGCATTTAAGGATAGAATATAAAATTTCCTATTCCAAAACCAAGAGCCATTGCTAAGAAAACCCAACCTTTATTGTTTTCATTAATAATTACCATTTACTGTCATCAATAAAAACATTGTTATTGAAGACTATGTTGCAGCTAATAATTACCACACAATCTTTAAAAATAGAGATCTAATAATATAAATCTATACTTCTATCTTTCTGCGAATCCTTTGAGAACTGGAAGTAAACATAAAAAAACACAAAAAAACATAGTTACGAATAGTCCACCAACAAATTCACCTTATGTAGTTGATTTCCAACTAAAAATAATTAATTAAACATTTACGTATTGAAAACAAATCGAACTTTATAATCCCAATTTATAATCATATACATTCTCATATCCATCATTTGCATTCCAGGATGCATTTCTGATTATTCTGTATGTGACATAAAATAAAATATAATTATTTAATTAAATTTTTATAGATTATAAAATCCAATAGATAATGAGTATTTTTTAAATATTTCTGAAAATATACATTAATTTCATTGTTGATTATATGTTTTATCTCTAAGACCAACAATATAGTTTCTTGGTCTTAATGGATTTAATCCTTTATTTTAACCTGTTGAAGTTGATTAATCTTTCATTTCATATACTTATGCCTATTAATATAAAATAAATAGAAATTACTTCACTATCAACTTTGAAATTACTTAATATAGTTTAAGATGCTTTAGTCTATCTTTTTCTTATATTAGCCATTTATATAGCCTAATAATAATTATAATAAATACTTTTCTTCTTAATTCCCATTCATTCCAACAATAATTTGGATCAAGATTCTTTTCAATAAAATGAACAGGTGTTTATACATCTTTATCAACCATTAATTTATTAGATAATAAACTTCCACTTTCAAATGTTAATTTTAAATTGAGATTCTTGAAATTCTCTTCTACTCTAAATAATCTAATTAGATGTGGTTTCTATCTACATATATCAATCACTCCTGTTAAATATCTCTATGGTTCTGATAAGAATTCATTAATAGCTATTTCATTGCTAAATACACAATTCTTATCTCTATATCTAAAAACACCTAATGATGGTTTACCAGGAATTAATAAACCATTCTTTTTTACAACAGACCATATACAAAATCCAAAATAATCTAATTAGGTTTACATAAAATCAGGAGTGTTTTAAGGTAATAATCTTTACACACCTGATTCTGGTTGATAATTAATTAAAGCTAAATTATCAGGTTAAGTGGATTCCATTTATTTACATTATTTTTATATTGCTAAGGGCATAGATAATTTCATCATTTTTCTTAGATCTACTAATAATCTAAAGAGTTCTACTCTTTCAATTGATATTTATTTATCTTCAAATAGACCAATATGACTTTGAGCTAATAATGCAAATTTAGGATAGACTTATTCTTTAGGAGCAGATGATTTATGTTCTAATAATTTCTTTAAGTCTTCCATTTCTTTAATAAATCTAATTCTATTTTGTTCAATCATGGCTTCACTTTATTCAATATCTTCTTATAATGATAAGATATAAGATAAATATTATCTGAGAAATGCTAATTCATCCTTATATTTTTCAATATCTTCATTATTCATTTGAAATTTTTCTTAATTAATGAAGAATGTAGTATATATTTCGCATTATTCTATAGTTTCAAGTGCTATTTATTTAATTTAATCAGATAATTCTCTAGCATTGTATTTAGTAAGATCTTCTAAAGAACTTAATGATACTCCTCCCTTTCCAATTTTCTTATTGAATAATCTAATTCCAATGACTAAATTGGCCAATTCAACTAATTGTGTTACTTTTTCTGAGGGATTCAATGATACAAAGGGTCCTAAGGCAGCTCTTGGGATAACACTTTCTAAAGCAGCTCCAACTTCTAAGGAGGAATAGTAATAATATTACCTTTGTCCATATTGAATTAAGCTTAAGCATCAAAATTAATAGGATCTTCAATCAATTCTTTATTCTTATATATCAAATAATGAAACATTTTAGTATATAAGGTGGTCAAACCTTCAAAATCTTTAGCATTTTTTATTTCCAAAGTGACAACATCATCAATGAATTTTCCAGTTTCATTAGATTATTTCTTGATTTTCTCTTGTCTTTATAATTCCATTTCAACATAAGCACTATCATATTCTTATTAATTATTATAGATTGTTACATATTTGTAATTGTATAGTTTTTAAATCTGGAGCATTTTAATTACTGAGTTTATTAAGTGTTTCATTTTTCAATTCATTCAATTCACTTTCATTGAGTTTTTCTTCTAGATAAAATTTATTTGTTCCTTTCAATAATTTGAAAATATACTTTTATTGAGTATTGTCTATGCAACATAAGATGCAAGAGTTTCAGTAATAGGATTGTTTCTAGCTCTACATTAATAGAGGGCGAACTTGACTACCTCATCTAATTAATTCATCTAAGGGTATTAGTTTTTATAATTAATTTAATTGATAAAATAAGTCTTCCATTAGTTAGTCAGACAAAATATAATAGCATTACTTTTCCAACTAAATAGTAATTGGAACAATCCTATTAAAATTTAATTTGTGATGCAATTCTCAAAAAACTACAACATAAGAATAGATTGTAAATATATTATTGAATCATGGATTTTAATCTTATATACAAGAAATCAATAAAATAATTAGATACTTCTATTCATATGAATTTTGGATCTAAAGATCATATTGAAATAAGCAGAATAAATGCAATTATATAAAGTATGTTCAAAAACATTAAATAGGTAGTGATTGATCGTTCATATACTTAAATGCATGAAGTATATATAAAGATAGTTGAATAGATAAATGTGAAAAGAACTTAGATGAATTATTAATTTAATATCCTCTATTTAACAATAAAATAGAGATATTTCAAAAATACCCTAATCCAATACCTAATTTTTATGATGATGTTAGATTGAAGTAAGAATATTAAAAGAAAATACATCAAATTAAAACATAAGAGGAACAATAAAGATAATCAAGAATCAAATAATAAAAAGAATATGAAAAATAATTATAAAATTTATAGAAATCTTAATAATAAACATCAAATGATAGTTCAAAAATTAAAAATGATGGTTATTTTTTTAAATATGAATAATCACTCAATAGAAATGATAGTTAAGAGATTATTAAATTAATTAATATCCATATTATAGTCATAAGGTGGTTTAAAATCCTTAATGTAAAAATCAAAAGAAAAAGATTAACAACTTTCAACTTCTCAGTCTAAATAAAATTTAAATCTTTCAAATTAATAAAAGAAATAACAATATTAACCATATAAGGAACAATTTGGCCAACTTAAGAATTAAAATGTAGCTACAGGAGTTAGAAAATCTAGAAGTATAAAATTTAAATATATATTTATTAGCTGGCTAGATGAGAAATTTAGCATAGCAATAAAAATATTAATAGGATCAAAATGCTGAAGATATAGTTTATTAATTAGAGGTATCTTATGGATGAAAAAAGGGAAATTATTTATTGGATGAGAAAGGAAATTATATTTAAATATCTGAAAAGGATTTGGAAGAATTGAAGAAATAGAACTTAGTTATTGAGTAGGAATGAATTATTTATTTATTTATTAAATTATATTAAATATTCTAATATAGAGTATTTCATTTAATTATTAAGATATTTATATTATGAATAAATTTTTAATTACATTAGCAAGAATACCAAAATGTCAACCAAGATTTGGTTTTGCAGATATTTTGAAAGACAAAGATAAAGGAGATGAGACAGTTTATTTTACAAAAGAAGACTGTATATAATTAACACAATTTATTAGAAAAGTTAATGTCAAAATTACTCAAGAAAATGAAAGAGAATAATGATAAGCAGAAATCATCGTCAATTAATGAAAAAGAAGACAAAGAAGATTTGCAAGTATTAATATTAAATTAAAATAGAAAATATTATCCAGATATAAGATTAATTATACTGATGCATTAATTGATGAAGTCTTAAATTGGAAAAAAGGAGATTGATCTATATAAAATATATAAAATTAAAAGTAGAATTGTTATTATTATTATATTTAGAAGATGAATGATTGAGAATTTATTTTTAAATATCAATTTACTTTTAACTAAGTATTCTTATTTATTTTGAATGAAATTTAAAAATAAAATGCTCTCATATATTGTTTTTAGGTATACCTATTAATTATAATAATATATGTTAATGTTAAGTATTGATTTAAAGAAATGTAATCTTTTATTAAAATTAATTCTTTAATTGAATTTTTTTCAGAATTAAATTATATTAGAATCAAATAAAATATAAATTTAATGGATAATCATTTTTAATTTAAAAATAATTTTATTTACTTTTTGAATTTAAGATTTAATAACAAATATAGAGTAATATATTTATGATCATAAGATAAATTTGTATAATGTAAATACTTTTTAATATTTGAAGAATATTAGAAAGGAATGCCTATTAAATATTGATAATATTATAAATTAATTTTGTAATTAAAAAGAATACTTTTAAAATCTCTTTCTTAATCATATTATTATCTCTATATATGAAATTAAATTACATGAGAATTTAATACTAAGTAAAATTGTATTTACCAGATTCTCATTTTTTAAATATAGATTCATTAATATATTTATTAAATAAGACAAAATTTTGATAGATGCAACTTTTGTTCTTAATTGATAAATATAAATATACATATTAAATTTCATTTTTATGATTTATCAAATCACTTATTCTTATTATCTCATAAATTTTAATAATAATAATACATATATCTCAATAATTTAGATTTATTAATTGATCAAATCAATAGTCTCATATTATATTTACTCCTATTATCCTATATTAATCATCTTTTTTTAGTTTTCGATAACTTAATTAAATTTTGGTTTCATTTTTTTGGTAATCTCTTATTCGTCCTACAACTCAACCAAACAATCCTATTAAATTTAGTTAAGTCAATAGAAATTAGTTAATTAACTATAGAGAAAATAAGGATATAATTCAAGATATTGATATTTAAAATCAGTTAGGGCATTATTTTTTGGAATAAATAATCCATCAAGATTGATATCTATTAATTATGTATTAATAATAATTATAATAGGAGAGTATTGAATTAGGTAATAAACGTAACTAGACAAGACTACTTGAGTCAATAAATGAACTTACTATGCAATAGAAATAATAGCTCTTAATAAATATTTTACAAATCTCAATGTAAGAAAGGAAGGCTGAAATTTTATAGTTAATGAGAATAATTATGTCAAAAGTGGATTTTTTTAATCAATTTTAAGTAGAGAATGTAGATCATGATGCTTATGATTATTGTTTGAAGCATCTAACATATGAAACCTTTTCGAAAGTATGAATCTTATTTTCTAAGTTTTATAGAATACAGTTATATTTGAAAAAGGAGAGTAACCTCAAAATATTTATGTAGTAATACGTGGATAAGTGTCATTATACTGTAATGATCATTTATTAGATTAAAAAATAACAAAAAAACATTCTTAAAGTGTAGATTATGGTAGAGAATCACAATGTAACAATAAAATTAAATTTTCTGATTTTAAAGTGAAAAGGTATATAGAAATATAAATTTATCTAATTTTTAGTTTAGTTCGTTTAACTGAATTCAAAGAATGGAAGACTTTTGGTGAATAAGCTATTTTAGATTAAAGATTAAGAACTAATTTTGCAGTTTGTGATATTGATTCTTTTTTGGCAATTTTAAGCAAAGAACATTATACTAATGCTGTTTAAATTTTGGAGAAAAAGAAGGAACAGCATCGTATGAATAAATTTAAATTGAATCCTAGTTTTTAAGGTTTAAATAAGAAATTAATCAATATAATGCTATTTAGTTATTAATCATCAGAATACAAATTTCGAGACATAATTTATAAGTAGGGTTAAGCTGATTCTGATATTATATACATTATTAAATAAGGAGAATTCTTAGTTTATTAGGAATAATAAAAGATTAATGAATAATAGTAGAAGAGAGTGAGAAAACAAATTGCAATAATGACAACAGGTGAAATATTTGGAGATTATGAAGCATTTGAAAAAATTACACGTTAATATAATGTTTAATGTAATTCTCATAATGGAAGCTTAATTATTATACCTTTATAATCATTATTTTAGAAATTATCATAATATAATGAATAACACTATATATAATAATTAAAGTAATTATGTATGAAAAAGAATAAATGGTATCATGATTTTAAAAGTAATATAGAATAAACTTAATAAAAATATTAGCATTTTTTAACTATTTAAGAATAGAAATGTAATAATTTAAATGGTTCATCTAAATTAATAGATTCACCTAGTAAAATAAATGATGAAAATAAATAATAGTTAATTGATGTATCTATATCAGTAAGTCCTATAACAGAATTAAAAAATACATTAAATTATATAACATCAATAGATGATTAAACAAATGAATAATAAGAAGATATAAACAATAGTATTAATATTTAAAAAATAAAAAATAAAAATAATTTATATATTGCTTCTCCAGATAAATTATAACCTTTACCTAAAATAACATTAGTTTCTAGTAGATAATAAGAGAGAAATTAATTATCAACACCAGATAGATTTAAATAAGTAATAAGACATAAAATGACAATTTTAAAAAGAATGCATAATTTATCACCTGAAGATTCTGTAGATATTAATACTATATAATAAAAAACAATTTATGTTTAATTACCAAAATAAGTTAAATTAGAATAAAATATTGAAAAATAATGGCCAATTAAAGCTACTCTATATTTAAATGATTTAGATGATAGGATTAGATATAATAATAATTCAAAGATTTAGAATTGTAATAGTAGTAGAGATTCTAGTGTAGTTTATGATTAAATGAGTTTGAAAATGGATGGAAGTGAATATAATTCATAAAGAACTAGTAGAATGGGTATATTGAATAATATATTATAATATTCAGTAACAAAGAGAGGTAAAAATAAAAAGAAAAGAGCTTTGACTTTAAAATATAGAGAATATTTGGAATAATAATTCTAACAAAAAACTTAAAATTCATTACTATATTGTTGATGATTATATCATGATTCAGTTTTATAAATTGATGAAATAACATCTGCTTTTTTTTCTGCAATTTCCTTTCTAGTTTTAACATTAATTAAAGCACTAACTGGTCTATGATCACTATAATTGATATCATGAGATTTATAATTTTGGTATTTATGTTCACAATGTTCATTTTATCCAATTAAAATTCTATCAGTCCAAGATGGAGTTCTTAATTTATCATATGTATTTGAATATGGTTCAAATTTATATGTAGGTAGAAAATTAATTTCAGCTTCTTTATATTATTTTAGATATTAATTTTATTCTCTATTAATTATTATTTCATCATATTTTTATAATTATCTATATTATAATTAATTATATATACTAAAGTATTTCTTTTGATTCATGTATTCTACTTTATTCTATAAATAATTTATGTCTTTGAGTAGATGTAATTACTTATTCTGCTTCTAAATTGATTCTAAAATTTAAATCACCAAATAAGATTCTATAATCACATTATTCAATTTTCTCTTCTTTCTTTTTTCCTATACCTATTTAATTAAAAATATTTTAATGTATATCTTTTAGACTCTATAATCTAGTAGATAAACTTTTCTATCCATGTTCTAAATGACAATTAATAAAACACATCAAAGTATCATCAATTAACATTTTAATTACTACTGCACCTTTATTAGCAATTTAACCCAAGAAACCAAGTTTAATTGTATCATAACTAACTTTAGTTATTCTATCTTAAAATCTTTCCTTTGCATAAATAAATAAACCCATTCCTAATAATTCTTTTGATTTAATATAGATATATTTATCTCTTTATCTTAAATTATTAGCAATCAATTTATCCCAATCTTATAAATATGAAGATGATCCAACAACTAAACCAGTTCCAGATGTAACCATTTCTTATAATCCAATTACTATAATATCAGCAGAATAATCAATAATTTATTTATTTAAATCATAAGATTATGGAACTCTTTATCCACCTACATTCCAAGTAACCACTAAAATAGAACGTTCAGAAAAACTACAAAATTCTTAAAATCTTGATTTTAATTTTTAATCTATTTATTTACTATAAGATGCAGTAATATCAGCATGATTACCTAATAATATATCAATTGTCTCTTATTTATCATTATCACCAAAATTTTAATAAAGAAATCTCCATAATGATTTACTACCATGATCTAAAGTACCTGTAATATCTCTTTATCCAGTTCTAGTAATATTTGTATGTGTAGATCCAGTTCCTGTATATTATATTGATAACATATCACCATTATCTGCCCATATATTTTTAAAATATTATATAAAATAATTAGTAATTTTGCTAGAATCTTCATCTAATGCTTCAATAGGTGACATTTTTAATAAATTTTAGAAATCTACTCCTAATTATTTAGTTGATAAATCAAATACACTCATAGCTATTTTTGTTTATATAAAATTAGTTCTATCAAGACAATCCATACAATTAGTTCTAAATATTCCATGTTAAACAGATAAAACTTTTTTTGTTTTTAAATCTTCTAAATAAAATCCAAAATTTTTAATATGTTCTAATAATTTTCTTATTAATGGATTAGATTATGAAAAATCATTATTTTTACATTCATGATGAAAATCAAACCATTCATATTTTACATTTCCATTTAATTCATCAGAATTAAGTTTAATTTATTCTTCAAATCCTTCTGTAACCATCTATTCTGCACTTTTCTTTTTTGCCATTAAATTTAAACATATAACTCTTGAATAATCTTCTAATAGAGTTTTAAAATGTTTTTTAAATGCATTTTTAGTTAATTCTGCAGATCTCATTAATTTTGTTTCTGTCATTAATCCTCTTTAATTCCAAAATATAGGTACACTACCTCTTACTTAAAGATGAGAACAACAATGATTATTATAATATATAATCTATTCTGTTTCTACAAAATTAGCAACATTTCCATCATCATCTATACCTCTTGCATTATATCTTGTACCTGCTCTTTTACATGATCTTCTACTCATTAAATAAAAGTCTAATTTCTTACCATTAATATACAAATAAAAATAATTAATGAAACCTTATATTATATTTGTTAACCATTTCCTATCAATTTATTATTTAAGATGATTTCTAATTAAATTCAGATTCCATAAAAATTTCTCTTCTGTTTTCTCTTCTATCTTTTATTTTACTTTTGATAATGTCAAATCATATCCATAAGAAAAATAAAAACCTACAATCAATAATTTTCTTAATTATCCTATCATTTTTAAAATTTCATTAGCTTTTGTAGATTACATTATTTTTTCATTTGATTCATATGGTAAAAAGGCAACTGTTGAAATCTAAAATATATCTTATTCATCTATTGTACAAACTAATTCAGCCTCATCTACCAATAATAAAAAAGGTTTATCTAATATGTAAATTGTACCTAAAAAGGCAGAAAAAGCCATTTATTGATGTTCACTTTATGGTGGTGGTCCATCTTACATATATTCATAAATTACCTTTTTCATAAAGATTTCCATTATCTCTATCAATAATCAAATGTTTATCAATTGTTATTGTTTTTTGATTTGTCTCTATTATATATTATTTCGGATAGAAATGAACTTTGAATGTTTGTGTATTCTAATTTTTAGTTGATTTAGCCTAAGTACTTTTATTATCTGTATTGATTGTTAAAGATGTTAATAATTACATTATTTTATATTCAATTTAATAATTTTTCCAATTGGATTAATGAGTATCTATCTTAGTATTCTAATGTTGCTCCTATAGAAAATTATTCAGGACAATTCTCTACAAATTCCCTTCCTATAATTCCCAAAGAATATATATCAATTTTATCTTATTCAATATCATTTTCAGGATAATATTTAGTAGTTAATCCTTTCCCTCTTAACCACTTTTCTAATTTAGGTTCCCAAAAATAAGAACAATCGAAATCAATTATTATAGGATATCCATTATTCATTAAAATATTATTAGGCTTTAGATCTCTATGAAAAATCTTATTTTGATTAAGTATCTAAATTGATAGAGTTAAATCTCTTAATTATTTGATATCCATTTTGACCATAGGTTCATAGTAAGGAAAGATTAAATAAAATTTTAAACTACTTGCATATGATTAACTTATATTTATTTGATATTATAAGGAAATTAATTGAGCAAATCCTCTATAATTACATTTATTTACTAGTATTTATGCTAAAATTTCAATTAAAAAATCTTTTAGTTTATTCTTTATTTTTTCAAATTGTATTTCAGTAAGTTATTTTATTTTCATAACTATTTTTTCATTATCATTACTAAACAAAGTAACATCTTAAGTTATCTCTTTATAATTTGGATACTTATTCTACAAGTTCTATTAATTCAATTATTACACATTCATAAATTCTTCTTCTATTCTATCTATTAAATCACTAATCTCCTGATCATTAATATAATATTTTAATTACTATAAACTATAATTAATATAATCTTAAACAATAGAACTACTTCTAGAAATCTAAGATAAACACCGAGATTCTACTAAATAATTAATACTCTTTCTAAATTCTACTTAAAATGATTATCTCTAATATTCCACATAATATGAAGTTCTTCTACTTTAATTTTACATAAGTCTATCGAAATCTATTTATTTGACAATATCAATAATATTATCTTTATACAAAGCTATATTGGCAATTTCTAAATCATCTCTTGATTATTATACTACTTTTAATAGTTGAGCTATGCATAAATCTTTAAAAACAGGATTTAATGATGTCTTCTTTAAATATTCAATACCTTCTCTATATCTTCCATCTTTTAAATATCTTATACCAATTGTATATTAAACTTCTGAAAAATCAGAACTAGGCAAACATTATTCCTATAATGTTTCTTCTCGATTGTAACGTATAAAGGATCTACTATTATCTACTATCTTTTTAAATTGTTATGTTTCTTGTATAGAATACTTTTTCTTATTATCTTACTTTGATTTTTCAAATTAAACTAAACGAATGATGCATAAATCATACATTGAGATATAATGATAAAAATGACTTAATAGTAAGTTCTCATAACAATCTTATGAGAAGGAGAATTATTCAATTACATTCTGTAAAGTAGTATATAATTTACAATCAATATATTACAAAAAATACTCCAGTATTTCTTACTTTTCATAATAGTGTTAAGAGATCATTTAATCATTTCTCATATGACATATTAGAATTAAATAAAATTATAAAATTGAAAAATAGGAATTCAATTTGAATTCGTATTCAATTTTCTATTTTAAATTAGCTTTTGGAATATCTTTATCTTTTAATTCAATAACATTTGCCAATTATTTAATATCATCATTTGGAATTTAAATAATATTTAAATTACTTCTGATTATTTTTGATAGATGTTTTAAAAATTATTCACATTTTCTATACTTCTAAGTTTCATTAAATTATTAATTATCTTTCAAATATTGATTACAATAATTAATAAATATACTGATATGATAAGGTATATTATTTCCATCTGATAATAATTCCTTTATCATTTCTATAGCTTTAACCTATTTTTATAAGTATAATGATAAAATCATTATTTTATACTTTAATTTAAAATAGAATTATCTTTAATCTTTAATTTCTATATACATATTGTTATTATTCAATTACTTTGATTTTTCATATGCTTTTAAATACAATTAATAGGATTCATTGAATTATCCTAAATAAAGACATATCTTAGCGATTTGATAATATAAGTAAGGTAAATAGTAATTAAAATTGAATTACTTTTAAAATACTATTGAGACTTTTCTAAAGAAACTATAAATTACAAGAGATAACCAATATTCTTTAAATCTTTTTAAACATTTACCTAATTTAAGTACACAAATTAAGTAGGAATCATCATATTATTTATTAAGATAAAAAATAAGACTAGTAATATGAGAAAGACGTTATTCTCCTTTTAATCTATTAAAATATATTTCCCATGGTTTTTCATTATTAATTAATCCAGTAAATAGAATTGCACCTATTTAATTAATGTGAGTATTATCTTATAGATATTTCATATATGTTTATGTAAATATAGCATCTTCAGTGATAATCCCATTTAAACAAATTAATTAAATTTAACATCTATGTAATTTCTTTTTTCTTTCTATAGTTAATTATAATGAATTCTCTTGGAATTTTTAAATTGGAAATTAAAAACTTTCAATATTTTATAATATGAATGTGCATTTATTGAGAACAAATTATTTAATATTAGGATAATCAATGGTTTCAAGTTTTTGATAACATGTCTTAATTATATTAAGAACTTATTCACATACATCATTAAAATATTTGTTATTAAATCTCAAATATTCAGGTATTTATCTTCTAAATATGTTAAGAGTAAACTAATTTATCTTATCAAATATATCAAAATGTTCATTTGCTATTGATAATTAATTTTCAATCCAAAATTAGCAACCTTATATAAAAAAATCAAATCCATAAAGAATATCCATATCAACAGGAAATGCTTAATTGTAATAATCATAATGATGAAACTGAAAATTTGAAATACCTTAATGTTTCATCATAAAATATTCATCATCATTTGTAAATTTGGAAACATATATGATAGGATTGAGTACATATTCTAAAAAACTAAATGATAGATTAGAATCTGTTAAATCAATATTTCTGATAGTCTGTATATACTGTAATTAGTCGCATAATGGACAGAGAGAGTGAAATTATTACATTTATTTAATATTAATAGTGTCTAAAACACATTACCTATAAAAGAAAATAAAATCATTTTCATGTAAGTTGAATCTATTCTATCTTTTCTATTATCTATACATTTTAACTCTCTTTTATTATTTGAATAAGTTAATTTAATTTCTATTGATTCAAATGAAACAATTTCTCTTGATCCATTTAAGCCAATCTCAAAACCTAATTCTCCTTAGCCAAACTTTTATACATTTCCTATAAATTATCTCTATCAATGTTAAATACAATATTAAATTACTTAGTAAATGTAGATGAAGGATGTATCCCATAAACATCATTATATTCAGGAGAATAATTAAGAAAATATTCTTACCAAAATTTAACAGATTTCCCTGTAAATTATTCAGGAATAATAACTTCTTATTCAATTGAAGCAGGATTCAAATAAAATGCATTTTTATATTTATCTTTATATTTCATCATCCAAGACCAAATGGATACTGTTGATTCCATTACTTTTTATTTTTGAATTTCCTAAAGTTAATTCATAATGTTAGAATCAATACCAAATAAGAATCGCATATAAAATTTCCAAAAAGAGAAGACATATTATGATATGCTAAATCTAGTAATAATTTAACATTAAATTCAAAAGATAATGGATATAATTATTACATTTAATAAACACAATCTAAAAACTAAAAGAATATTGGTGATCGACAATCATCACTATGTTATTTATTACCAATTGCAGATCTCTAACAAAATTAATGTCCATTATTAATCCATTCCTTTTATATTAATATCATAAATCCATCAAATGTTCTGTAATATCCATCTATCATTATCTATACTAATGATATTAATTAAGGTGTTTTATCCCATCCATCATTACAATGAACTAACACATTCAATTTCTCTCTTGTTAAACTTAATGCTATTCTAACAGCACCTTGTATAAGAGATACTATATGTTCATACCAAATAGATATTTCTAATTATGAAATAAATTAAATAGTCTCACTATTATAATTATACAAACTTCTTACCTAAATGAATTTTTCAATAACTTCATTTAAGATTCTCTAACTTTATGTATACTCTATATTTCTAGAAATTCTAAACTGCAACTTTTATAATAAATTGGAATCTCAAAACCCTTACCAGCAACTTATTATCCTATAGAATTAACATCTGAACGAGCATCATATATTTTTAATCGAATTTCTTCTTATTAATTATCTTATTCATCAACAATTTATTAAGACATCTATTTTAAATATAATTCATCTTCTAATGATCTTATTTAACCTATTCCTATTCTACATTATGCACTTCTCCATAATGACACAATCTTTCCATTCACTTAAAATGCATATGATAAAATTGGTATTCTTTCCTTTGATCTAAATTTAGCTGTCTTCTATATACAATCCATATCAACTTTAGAAGGTACAATTAATCTATTGTAATATGTTGCACATATCTATCCACCTTCATTATTCAAATATTTAAATAATCCATT